ACAATGGAAGGCGATCAGTGTGAGTGAAACCAAACCAAAATGGCTTGTACCATGGGGAGATTAAAGGGGAGGGGGCGGGTAGGGAATGGTGCTGCTGATTGTAACCCATCTTGCTCGTACATATATTTATTTATATACCGAGAACTATAGGTGTGTGTGTATATACGGTATGTGTGTGTATATATATTTATATGCTGTATATATAAAGATATACACATACATGTGTTTGTTTTAGTAAACTGGCATGTGATCTAACCAGGGCCACCCTCACCCAGAGGTTCCCAGGACAGTAGATGGGCTCTTTTATTGACCAAGGTGCCAAATACAAGTTTTTCCTTCCCTGAGTCCTGATCACATGGACAAACCAAGTGGGATGAGGCCTCTCTTTTGCTCTGCCTGGAGGGTGGCAGACAAGCTTTTATGACCTGAAAAAAGTAGTGACTGGTAGATTTGAAGCAAAAGGAGGAGCTGCCACTGTGACATTACTGAGAGTGGTGGTTGTACTGCTGAGCCATTATTTTTGCAACTGGATTGACTGCCAACTAGACTGAGGATCTGATGTTGTGCCAAAGATATTACAGCCACCTGTTCTAGTGCCAGTGCTGTGCAGTCCTCACTGGACTGTGTGACCATAGGATCTAGGAGGCAGGGAGGGTGGGACTTTGGAGGCTACTCATGAATGTAGAGAAAGGAGCGGGAGCATCCAGTACCCCAATACCTCCCTGCTCCCTCTTGTGAGCATGGCTGGCTTGGCATCATGTTTTCTCTCACCCTCACTGCACAGGTGCTTGTCACTGATGCATGGAAATCTCTGTGTACTCAGTGTCTGATATAACGCCCTCTGATGGCAGCAAAAATCTGCCTGCAACTTCAGTGGGCTTTGGATCGGGTCCTTGTTGATCCCTCTGTGCCTGACACGTTGTGCATTAGCAAACTGTTTTGGCGTGAATGAGCAGACTGGGTCCTACTGGTTCACTCTAGTGCCTTTTGGCATTGATTTTTAGGAGAGGGGAGCAGAGGTAGCTCTGTATGCTGCCAGAAAGATATGGTGCCAGCCATGGTTAAATCAGTTAGGGATAGGCAGACAGTTTGAGAAGCAAAGCCCCTCCTGAGCCTCTCTCAACAAGAACACAAGAAATGCCATCTAGCCAGTATCCTGTCTTTGAACGTGGCAGAAATGGATGCTATAGAGAGAGAGCACTGAACTTGATATCTCTAAAGTGATCTATCCCCTATTCAATACCCTCCATCATTATTGGTTTAAAGATGCTGTTCAACAGCCATTAATAGATCTACTATCCATGAGTTATCTAGTCTCTTTTTGAACTTGGCTATGCTATCTGCCTCTACCACCTCTTGTGGCAATGAATTCTACAAGTTTACTACACATTGGGTAAAAAATCTTTATCCCTGCCTCTGGAGCAGGACTAGGTTGCCTGGTCAGACCCCTCACATTTCTCCCCAAGGTTTCCCTGGGAGTTTAATACAAACTTCATGGATTAGAAAGGAGATTAAAAGTGGGAGGGTTAGGCAGTTGACATGGAAAAGTTGACCATCAGAAATGAACCTTCTTCCCCTACAGCTGGATCTCAGCAAAGAGGAACACTAATATATATCAGCCCTTGGAGATCAGCCTGCAGACACAAAGTTACAGACAGAAAGACTCAACAACCACCACTGGTTAAAGGTATAAGCAACATAATTGCTTTTCCAATTGCAGGAACTGGTCTGGCCTTCATCACCACAACCATTGGAATCTCCCCTGGGCTTGTCGGGGGCTGTGTGAAATTGCCTTTGGAGGGCACTGATCTGGTACTGGAGACCACTGGGCCATGTGGAACTGAAAAGGGTTCATCTGAGTAACTTTAAAAATGATTGAAGCATTTGTGGCACTGGCCTGGGGAGGCTGTGTTACTCAGGGGTATCACCAGGTCAACCCAAAGAAAGCCCCGTTCAGTTTTCACCACACCACCATGTAACAGTGGAAGCAGTCTATTCTAGGGAAGTTTATATAATTATACGGGGACTCTTTATTGTATCCCTTAATCTGTAACACAGGGTGCCTTAATTTGTTCAAGTTCTATGTACAGTGCTCAGAGGGCAAAAATCTACACCTGAAAATTTTTAAACACCTCTCAAAATGACCTAGTATGAGCTCTGCTAATCACAAACACATCATGACTTTAAGGTCCTGTATCTCATTGCCCTTGAGGGATAAAAGTAGCATGCCATGCATCTCCCCTTTCTACTGGTATAGGGAGCCTGAGGGAGGTTGGCACCCAAATCCCATTGGTAGGTCTACAGTATTGGGCACCCATCTGTGCCTTTCAAAATCGCTGCCTAGCACTCCTATTTCCAGCTCTGCAACCTCATGAGGTATTGTACAATCAACCTGTACCTGCCCCAAGAAGTGTTATTTCTCCTAGAACAGGCCTTTGCCCTTTCTGACTCATAAAAGGACAAATTCTGTATGTGAGGGAAAGGAAGAAATATTCTTATGGCAGCCTAGAAAGGTCCCCACCCCCTGGGCACTTCCTCATGGCTGGGCCCAGTACTGCAGTGGTTCTTTCTCAGTTTCTTCATCAGCTTTTCCTACCTGTGCTAGTGACTTGTGGCTCTACCCTTCAACCTAATCGTTATGAATGATCCAACACCCCCTGCCAGGGTGCCAGAGACAGTCACAGTCCAGGACAAGCAAGAAATGAAGGAATATTTGCCCCACTAAGGCTTAGTCCTTTGCCCCCCTTCAAGGTTATTCATCCATGCATTCCCTTAGCTCACCACTCAGCCCAACTCTTTTTCTCGTGACTTGTGGCTCTACCCTTCAACCTAATCGTTATGAATGATCCAACACCCCCTGCCAGGGTGCCAGAGACAGTCACAGTCCAGGACAAGCAAGAAATGAAGGAATATTTGCCCCACTAAGGCTTAGTCCTTTGCCCCCCTTCAAGGTTATTCATCCATGCATTCCCTTAGCTCACCACTCAGCCCAACTCTTTTTCTCATATAAGCTACATTCATAGATTCATAGACATTAGGGCTGGAAGGGACCTCGGAAGATCGAGTCCAGCCCCCCGCCCAAAGGGCAGGAAGTCAGCTGGGGTCATAGGATCCCAGCAAGATAAGCATCCAGTTTCATCTTGAAGGTGTTCAATGAAGGCGCTTGAACCACCTCCGGTGGCAGGCTGTTCCAGACCTTGGGGGCTCGGACAGTAAAGAAATTCTTCCTTATGTCCAGCCTGAAACGATCTTGAAGTAGTTTGTGACCATTCGACCCAGGCTAAAGAGTCCCAGGGCTCTCAGCCTGTCATCGTAGGGTCTGCTTCCCTGACCTCTGATCATGCGCGTGGCTCTTCTCTGGACTCTCTCAAGCTTCTCCACATCCTTTTTGAATTGTGGAGCCCAAAACTGGACACAGTACTCCAGCTGCGGCCTCACTAAGGCCGAGTACAGGGGGAGAATGACGTCCCGGGATTTGCTTGAGAAGCATCTATGGATGCAAGCCAGCGTTTTGGTCGCTTTACTAGCCGCCGCATCGCATTGCAGGCTCATGTTCATCTTGTGGTCAATGATGACCCCCAAGTCTCTTTCTTCCATAGTGCTAGCCAACATAGCACTGCCGAGCCTATAAGGATGCTGCGGGTTTTTTTTCCCAAGGTGGAGAACCTTGCATTTATCGGCGTTGAACACCATCAGATTCTCGTCCGCCCACTTGCTGAGCCTGTCCAGGTCAGCCTGGATAACCTGCCTGTCTTCTGGTGTGGATGCTTTGCCCCAAAGTTTGGTGTCATCGGCGAACTTGGCCAGTTCTGATCGCTTCTGACTCCAGTGTCCACATCATTAATGAAGATGTTGAACAGTATGGGTCCAAGGACAGAGCCTTGGGGGACCCCACTGGTCACAGGACACCACGATGAGTGACTTCCATCGATTACTACCCTCTGGGTCCGACCCCGGAGCCAATTTTCCAGCCAGTGGATCGTGGAGGACCCAAGGCGACAATTGGCCAGTTTCTCCAAGAGGCGATCATGGGGCACCAGATCGAAGGCTTTTTTGAAGTCAAGATATATGACATCAATCTCTTCTCCCTTGTCCAGGTGATAGGTCACCTGGTCGTAGAAGGAAATGAGATTGGTCAAGCAAGACCTACCGGCAACAAACCTGTGCTGGCTATCCCTTAAGATGTTGGCGTCGGCCAGTCCATTAAGGATGGCCTCTTTAATAAACTTTTCTAAGATCTTCCCCGGGATAGAAGTCAGGCTGATGGGCCTATAGTTAGCCGGATCCACTTTCCTCCCTTTCTTGAAGATAGGCACCACATTGGCCTTCTTCCAGTCTTCGGGCACATTCAAACTTGAAATATCATTACTGGACCCCAGA